GCCTGACTTGCACCCCTGCTAATAGTTACTAATTTTCTTGTTACTTTTCAAGTTATATTATAGGGATTTTTACGGTTCAAGTTACTATTTTTACGGTTCAGTCCACCCAATGTATTTACCATCCCCCTGTGAATTTGACATCTTTCCCCCCTTACACTGACCAAAACTGTAAGATGAAGTTATGAATTCTGACGTGGAATGGATCGTAAAAACCCCTATGTTATATATGTCTAGTAAAATAAAATTTTATTATTTTTAAGCATTTTATATAAAATTATTACATTAGAAATCATGAAAAAAATTATAAAAGATTGGCTGGTATTTCCGTCGTGTTAATACATAGATGTTACCGTATGCGGTACATGTACACTCTTTTCTTCCATTTGACTTATTTGTTAGTTAATTATATTTATAATAAGTAAAAAAATCATAAAAGTAAAATGACATGGCAACTTGACTCGTTCCTAGTTGACTCATTTTGAAAAATCTCCACCTTCTTTCTAGATAACGTGGAGAGCATTCATAGAAAAAAGAGAAGATTGTTTATTATCATTTAATCAGTAATATTTCTCAGAAAGTAGGGATTGGTGTTTGATGACGGCCTCATAGAAAGAGAAAATAATGATTAAAATTAATTAATTAATCAGAAAGTAGGGATTGATGTTTGATGACGGCCTCATAGAAAGAGAAAATAATGATTAAAATTAATTAATTAATCAGAAAGTAGGGATTGATGTTTGATGACGGCCTCATAGAAAGAGAAAATAATGATTGAAATTAATTAATTAATACTTAACCAAGGAAGTATTTTATTGAAGCCGTTCAGAATTTCAACGCCAAATTAGTGCATGGCCAGCTTTTCAAGTTCTCCTTTCAAGCGCTTAGCCACACAATGACGGCTTACCAAGTTCTCCATTCAAACTTTGGCTGTATGGGGGGTTTTCTTGCACATAACATGGCACCCTATTTCAATCCCTTTGCCTTTTTAATTAGAGTTGAGATCACCTGCCAACAAAACAAGTTCCAACACTCTATCAACTTTATCCAACACCATACTTCTTGCTATAAAATTGGGGCTCATCATAAAGTAAAACTTGTCATGTATACAATGTGTGGTTTCGATGTTGTTGGTAGGGTGTTGGAACACATTTTATTGGCCGGTGATCTGCACTCTTTTAATTAAGGGAGGCATTCGAGAATAATTCGGATTTGGTCTTCACAAAACCATCTTGACATTGTTTTCATAGTTTTTTACACTTTGTATTTATATATTTTTATTCATGGGGAGATATTTTCAATGTATAACTTCTAAGAGACTGTGTGAGGACGGTTTTATGAGGATCAAGCAATTTTGTTTTGAAGACAAAAACAACTGCCATATCATCAAATATAATATAATTTTGCCATGTAGCAGTTGTTTTTTATTACAGAAAAAAAAGAAAAAAAAAACAACCATGTTATCCAACACCCCCTAAATGAACATTAATTGCGATTCCTCTTTTATCCCATACCTATCTTACCATGTCATAAACGTGAAGCTTGAAAACAGCCTAGGCTGTTTTTTCATTACAACAAAGTTTTCTCATTCCTTGAAGAAATATATTCATTTAGGCTGTGTTTGGTTTGAAGGAAAGAGTAGAGAAAGGTAGGGAAACCTCAATAAACCTTGTATAGGCTTCCCTGTCTTTCCCTTCCTTTCCCTACTTTTTCCTTCAAACTAAACATAGCCTTAAAGAATAAAAAGTAACCCCATTTAAAAAATTCTCTCTCTCTCTCTCTCTCTCTCTCTCTCCCCCCCCTCAATGGTGGCATGCAAGTGAGTTTGGATTTGTTCCAAACAAATTCAGTCCTCACATCCACTTCACAGCTTTTGCAGCAACACATCCGAAACATGTCCATATATACTTGTATGTATTTATTCCTGGGAGATATTCCCAGTGTACCGCTGCAAAGGCTGTGAAGATCAATTTTGTGTGAAGCAAATCCGATTTCCACCCAAGTATGGGTGTCAATAAAGAGCTGGTTTTGGTTTGGACCCATCCAAACCAAAATCAATTTGGATGGATTGGACAGACCAACAAGACATATTGAAGACCAGTCCCAAAATGTTTATTGGATTGGATTGGACCTGGTCCATCCGTAACAAATTTATGCTGGATTGAACCAATATCTGGTCCATTGATAGAAGATAGGAATATAGGTGTCAATGTACTAGGTTAGAATTAGAATTAATCTAAATTAAAACAAATTTGAACAGATTGGGCAGTTCAGACATTGAACTGGACCAGTCCAAAATATTCATTGGATTGGATTGGACCTGGCCCATTTGTAATGGACTCACATTGGATTGAATCGGATTGGACGAAGTATATACATGCATGGGAACTCAAGCTAGCCCAGATGAGATCTCCTAAAAGCAAAATTTATTATACATGTACTGATCAAGATGTTCCCAATTGCCATTCAGATGCCATGCTCTGACATTGTTTGCAGTTAGGAGGAGCCCATCTTTGGAGACTAGGACTATTGGACTATGGAGATGGAAGTGAGAAAACAAGAATTTGAAAATGAAAGCACACTTTCATTTGCAAGACTGTGCAACTATTTGGACCAAGTAAAGGTGACCTTTTAAGGACGGAAAAGAGGTACATATCATGACCATGCTCCAGGTATATAAAAAGTTGAGGGAATGAAAAATCAAAAGCTTCTTCCATTGGACCCCAATGTTCTATATCTTTTAAAAGAGACTTAGGAACCCTGTCAAAACACACATTCTCTTCGTTCCCATTACAAGCTCTTTTTGTAATGATGGCTTTTAATTAGTCTGCGAGTCACTCAACATGGACAAGACTACTTCTTCCACTTAATCCATGGAAATGTAGCTTATAGTCTTATTATTTTTTTCTATATTAATCAACTATTCCTTAGTCCATATATAGACCTCTCCCTCTATTCGTTAATTAACTTGTTCTGTCAAATTTTGTTAGGTGAACTTTTTATTAAAACACTTGCCCAACAACTCCTCTTTCCCCCAAAAAATATACACATTATTCTATTAAGAATCCCTAATCATGATTAAGAAATGTCTTAATTTTATTCCCAACATGGCATGTTGTAATTAGTAATTAGATCAAATAGGTGACTAATGAAGCCTATGTTGATTAATTAGTTATTTTCTCCTTAGCTCCAAAACTAACACCCCACCCAACAAAAAAAAAAAAACCAAGTCCAATATTGTTGATGGTCGGTGTATTTTTAATACAGTTAGTAGGAATAAAAAACTAGGGTGTAGATTTGTTTCCCTTCTGGTAACAGCACACACTGTTAGCTTGTAAGCTCTTGTTCTATTTGTACTAACACTTACGAAATTCGTAGACAATTGGGAGATAGAAGACTTTATATATCTCCAGTTTCATGAGTTCATACTGCAGCTTAGTTATTTAGGCCCAGTTTAATTCGTAGGAATTGAGATCTGGAATCTGCTACAGGAGTTCATATACTGCAGCCTGTTCTATTCCAGGACTGGATTTAGTAGGCACATCAAAATAATCACGTTAAATGAATATTTGATAAATATTTTGACAACTATTAAAAGTGGGTATTAATTTTTTTCGGCAGTGGGGTGAAAGTATTTTAAGGAATAAGTGTCAAAAAAATTTTCAAATGCTTATTGAACGTATTTACAACTTAGTGCATACCTCATCCAAACCCCTGCTCCACATCCTTATCCTTCGTTGAGATGATAAGGATGGGTTTCAAACCTGGTTGATGAATAGCAATTAATAAACTATGATTTGACAAAATAGGGGCGCCTAATTCTTAATTATATATATGGGTTAGCAATTAAGCTTATGTCAAACCAATAAACTAATTAACCCATATAAATTTAGAAGAGAGACCACGGTCTCAGCGTCTGATTTGTTCTCCAGACTTGATCAATATTTCCCAGGCTTGAAGAAGATTGGTCTATGAATGTCAAAGTTTTCCACGTGTCACAGTTGCATTGGTCGATGATCAATCATTCAGATGTCACATCTGAAAGCTAATTTACACCAAAACCAACCTAATCAGAGGATCTAACGAGCCAACATAGATAGACTTAAGGGATTCGTCATCAGCTTGGGCCGCAGCTTGAAGTATGAATAAGGGAGATCAGATGGTTCAAATCGATTCAATCATTTGAAATTATAACAAGTGGGACCGACCTAATAGAGGCCGTTAACGTTCATTTCTATGGGCAAATTCTCACTGAGTTTGGACTCCGGATTTCCACTTAAAATAATAATAACCCATTAACCCGACTGATGACATGAATGAGAATTTTGTCATATTAATGAAAAGTGATGGCCGGAATAAGCATTACTATTGACTTTGAATTTCAGGTTCATTACGTTCGGCGAAGGAGGTTAGCTAGATTTAGGGGCTCCCCCTTAGTCAAACTATATTCCGTTCAAGCGTGGAAAAGCAAAGCATTTTGGTTCGGGACTTGGGGAGATGGCGATTAGTCTGAAGTCTGAACTTTCGTAGACATGAGATAGAGAATCCCCAGCTGCTGATAATCCATTTCATTGCTCACAGTATTATTCCATTGGGATGCACGTGGAATTGTTCTAATACGCGCGTTTCATGGAAATATCCACCATTGCTAACGGGAGAAGATGATCGATCCAGCTCCAGTGCTGATCACATACACGAGTCTTTCGACGACTATGGAGTATGGAGATCGACCATCTCACATGCTGTCAATGTGAAAGGGGAAGGGGATTTCACTTTCTCCTTATATATCTAATTAAGATGCATGTTTTTCTTTTTCAAAGTAACTTTTTTTTTTTTTACTTTCCTCAAAGGAAAAGTGAAGCATGCATCCACTACTCAGAATTTTCACCAAGTCCCTGATCAAGAGAGAAAAGGAGAGTGAACACGAAATCGGGTCAATAGCTAGTTTGACAAGGAACCCATCAAACATAATCTTTAATTCTAGTTTGGAGACGTTTAACAGGTGAACAACAAATTGTGTTTGTTTTTGATTAATCAAAAATCAACATCATAAGGTACAGAGATGCAGTTCCTACAATTCAGAGAATACATGGAAAGGACAGACCCACCAGACTTTAGGATCTAATTTGCACTATTTTTTTGGGTTTATTCACCAGAAGATCAAATTGGATTAGTTCTAATTATATATAAGTATATATATTTGGTCTAAGTTCTAACCATGTCTCTCTTGAATCTTTCCCTCCCGCTGCACTCCTTTCAGAACTGGGGGAATCTGGTGTAACTTGCCGACGGATGAAGAGCAGGATCGATCATGTCCATAGTGGTTCCCAAACTGAGCCTAGATTGTTGTTGTTGTTGTTGTCTTCATTGAAGCTCCCGTTAGTCTGAAAGCTGTAAGGACTATTCATGAAGTTGTCCAAGGACTGTTGCAACAACGCCGGTTGCTGAGATTGTGTCATCTCCATGCAAATCAGAGCCACTAGGTTAGCCTGCTGGCATTGCATATTGAGGAGCTCGGCCTGGGCCTTGGCCAATTGTGCTTGGAGCTCGCTCACTTGCTTCTGGAGCTGGCAGATTGCCCCTGCACACCCGTAGACTGGGTCTCTAATTCGTGCATTCGCTTCGTAAACCATGCTACTCACTGCGTCAGCTCTCTGATACTCGGGAAGCTCCTAAAATTACAAAACCAAATTCAAGTTAATCGATTAACTCATGCAGTTTGCTTTAAATTCTAGCAAAACAGGAGATAACTAGGAACGAATGAACTACTTGGCTACAAAATTCAAGAGTTCAATAGACTTCTGTGATGATTTCATCATCTGTGGAGATTTGAGTTAGTTACCTGCAGGAACTTGATGATATTGCTGGCTCCGAACACTCGATGGGCAGTGGTGAATTTGAGGGGTTCGTTTGGGGGGAAGTATGGCGCAAGAACACATTTCTCAACGCATCGCCGGCGGAGAATCTTGCAGGCGGCACAAGGACTGACTACGACAGGGTGAGGGGGAGGAGGAGGAGGAGGAGAAGAAGAAGAAGGGGAACGAGAGAGAGGAGATGAGGTATTTGTAGTGGTGGTGGTGGTAGTTGTTTCGCTCGACTCCATCGCTGGACAAAGCTAGATTTTTCTTCGTTTTTCTGCTTGGTGAATGGTGATGTCAATAGGAGGAAATAGAAGAACGAGGTGAGGAAGCAATGGAAGGACGATGGCCTCTTTTGGGCCAAATGTGGTGGAATATAAATAGGCGTGGCGAATGGCGATACCAGTTGTCAGCTGATGTCGTCAGAGATCTTGAATTTTTGTTTCAGTCTGAACATACACTCCCTTGGGCTTTTCTTTCAGTCTAAACTCTAAAGAGATAAAATACAAGATAAAAGGATAAAAAGAGGCAGACCGCAGACTGAGCCAAAGGTATCAGGCGCTAGGGCTACAGTTAGAGTTGAAAGAACAGTTACCCTTTTTTTTTTTGCTAATAAAAAAATGTGTTTTTTTTTTCTATTTATTTTCAGCTAAAAGTACTTTTCCAAATTAATTTCTTGACATGTTTATTATTCTGTTTTTTTTTTTTTTTTTTCCTGGGTGAACGGCTGAACTTGGTCAGGGGGACACGGAACCAGCACATGGGTCATAGCCCACGGGGCCCCATAACTTATGGGCCATAAGGGTCTAAGAGGAGAGTCCCGTCTGTTTGTCAAGAGAGATAACAAGGTAAAAAAAAAAGTAATAATAAGCAGAAAGAAAATCCTCATTTTTTTTTATAGTCTGAAAGAGTAATCTTCCAAACAAGCCCTTGCAACCCTTAGATGTCATTTATCAGACATCCAAATAATTGGTGGGGAACGGGGGATCTATAATTTCCTTTTTACTATTTCTTGTCAAAAGAATTAAACAGAAGGAATAATTATTGGTAGGATGTTTAATATTTGAGTGAGTTAGGACTGGAGTTGGGAATTTAAGCATGTTGGTGCCGGTGAGGCTACAATTAATCTTACAACTACCTTCTATTACGCTTGATGACGTGGCCTTTTAAATGATAGGGACTGTAGTCCTCTGTGTGTGTAAAAGAGAGAGAGAGAGAGAGAGGACAGGGCCCACCCAAGGCCCATGGGTCATGGGTTGGGTAGAGAGATGGTCAGCTCGTTGGGCACGTGAAAGAGAAGCTCACTTCAAATTCTCCTTTTTTTAAGCTTTTCATAAGCGATTGTGACCCTTCTGGTCTTCGGTTCTATGAGGTGAAATTTTAATTCCTTGTATGCCCAAGTGTCCCATTTTCCTTGGAAAAAAAATTCGGTGAGAGAGTTTGAAATCTTAAGAATTTGGTGGAAATAGTTGGCCCATTTCCTCTATTCCATCTCTCTCTTTCTCACAGTGTGTGTGACTGAGATTCTGCGTGTGGACTTATGATCCAAAGTCTGGAGAAAAGTAGTAATAGATAAATGAAATCAAGAGTTTTCTTACATCAATTGACAGTAAATGGAACTAGAAATGGGTGAAAATGATACACCATTAATTGCCAGCTCAAAGAGGCTTGCTCTTAAGAAGACAATGAGTACCCAATCGATATAAGCTTTTTAGATTCATCAAAAAACAGGGTTACCGAACCACCTTTGAATTTACCTCAAAAAAGCCCACCTTTGAAAAATGTGTTTCAGCCTTTCAGGTACGGTACATCTTTTTCGGCACCATAGGTATGGTTGTTGTTTTTAGTTCTACCTAATCTTTTATGCTTTGTTTGCGGTGTAATACTCCATTGATGGTTTAAATTTTGTAAACGGTTGTATTTTGAAAAAACGTGATTATCAAAGTACTATTACATTGTTTTTATTGATTATCATATGTAAAGCTTTACCATACTTAGAGTTTTAGGTTGCGTTTGGAAATGATGCAAATAGAGTGTAAATTTTGGTTCATGATAAATTTGCACTTTGGTTCACTTTTGTTTGTATTTGATAACATTATATTTATGCATTGATAAATGACAGACCAATGCATATTTACATTGATAATAAGATGTAAAAATAAATCAATAAAAAATAAATAAATTTGCATTCAAGTGGACTTTTGATAAAAAAAAACATATGCTTTATTAGAATTCATGTTTGCATCCATTACAACTAAAAGTCTATTTGATAAGAAGAAAAATTTATCAGTACAAAATTAACCCAACTTTATAATTTATATGAATTGTTTTACATTTTACATATTTGCATTCACATTTATTTGCATCGTTTCTAAAACGCAGCCTTATGTTGATTTATGATGTAAAACTATACTCCATCCATACAAACACCGGCAAACCCAAACCAAAGATATAGTTTTACACCAATCTTTCTTTACACTGCAAACAAACACCAACAAATGCAGATCAGGAATAAAGTTTTACATCAGTTCGCATTTATACCGCAAACAAACGAAGATGAATTCATTTTCAAACCCTCATTAATCCGGACAGATGATCTAGTCCCCTGTCTTTGATGGTCGGACCGTTCATCCACGCTCGCTCACTCTACAGGCTATTCTTTTTCCTATTTTTCAAGATTTCTTTTCTTTAATTTCCTTCGAATTTGGTTCCAAGCAAATGTAGGCAAAGGACTTGAGAGAGGACAGATTACCGGTCTTCGGACGTCTCTATCTGACCATCCAATCAAAGTATTTGTGATTCCATGCCTGTATTTTAAGGCTAATAACGAGTGTAGGCTGAAGATGCAATTCATACAATCTACCAAAAACCCGGATGATTGGGATTTATTGACTAACAAATTTCCTAATGACCATGGTATTTTACCAACATCTAAACGTGATTAGAGAAGCGGCACAATCCCATTTGTTTTAGGACTAGTGATTTGGACATCTTATTTTTGGGTTCGATTATAAAATAGAAAAGATGTGGTATTCGAAAAATAATTGGTCAATAAATCAGAATTATAAATGTGGTAGGAAAAATGGTGTTATTTATCAAAATTTTTTAGTAGGTTTTTGATTGGTCAAAACTTTTTTCTCATCATATTTTTTTTTTTTGTATCATAAATTTCCCCCTATTTTTTCAATAAATAGAGAAAACCCTCAACAAAAAAAAAAAAAAAAAAACTTGAAATGCCCATTCTAATGCTATGGCCATAAAAATAAATATAAATAAAATGTAAACCTATTTTCCGCTTTCCTGATTTTTATCAAACAAAGTTATACAATTTTTCGAGTTTCATGGCTCATGCAAGACCAGAAGCTACTGTTTACATGCCTCCCAAAATCTTGTATTTTGTATTATTTTGCTTTTATTTGCACTGTACATAATTGTAATTATATTCTTTTCAAATTAAGCCTAAGTTTCAATATAACTCTTTGTATTTGTGTAATATGTGTTAATTGAATTGATTATGTATCGGGGTATATATCCCAAAATCCAGCAAATCACTGTGCAATATAAAAAGATAAATGTATAAATTTTACAATTAAACTGTAATCTGATGTTGATTAGCAGTGACCAAGCTTACTAAATCCAATGATTTCCCAATTGAATTGAGTTTTTGGGTGTCAAGAGTTGGTCCTGATCATATAATCTGGGTCAAATTTGAGCTTAAGAGTATATCAATCAGATGAAGTCATTAACAATATGGTCCCAATGAAAGCAGGCTGGAGACAGAATCCAAATAACCTAATCTAGCCATTTGGCAAAAGTTAATTAATGAAGTGGAAATAGGCTGCAGTTGCAGACCTAATTAATATACCTCATCTTTTTGGTTTTATTTATGCAACTAATAAAAACCCAATTAATTAATGTTATCATTGACCATTCCCAACCCTTTCAATCATGTGGACGTATCAAAATTTGACCACCTTTTCCATACTGTGCCACTTGTACAATCCACAAAGCTGTCGTGGCAACTGCTCCTTTCAACATTTATATTCTGATTGAACAACATTTGGTGCACGGCAATGTTGTTTGAGCTGGATCTTATCAGGCGGTCGTACCAGCGAGAATGACTGTTCAGTGTACACTAATAATTCTTAGTTTTATAGTATAATTGAGGTAGATGTCAGCTATGAATTGATATTAATACACGGTTGGATATTGATATTTTAGAATGGGGTATTTGTCATTTTGAATTGAATAAAATTGCAGTGAAATTCAAAATTCTGAAGTATAGTGTAATGTACTTTTCTCGTTTTCCATTTATTTTATGGGCCAAACCACTAAAGTCCCATTTGGTCTCATTCCAGGGGAATGCTTTTTGCATTGCCAATGTTTTTATGGTTTAGTTTGGAAGGAATAGAAATGCAAATATATACAAAATATAAGTTTTTACACTACACATTGACAAAAACACGTCTGGTTCAAAAGCAATGGAATCGGGCTCCAAAACTGTGTTTCAGATAAGTGAAGATTTCATTATTTCTCTGGAACACATTCATCTCATCCATTTGTTTCTTCCACTACAAGAATTTAGGTATTCTCAATCATTTAGATTTGAAAAAGTAATCTTAAGAATCAATAATTCTATCCAAATACTGTTTTTGTTTTTGTAGAATAGACGTCTATTCTTCAAAACCAGATTACTAAACACCTGATCAGTTATTCTTCAACAACAAAAAAACAGAATTCTTATTTCAAAACAGGAACTTTCTCATGAACTGAAATAGACAATAATGATGTCAAACGGAGCCTAAATAACAGTTGAAACTTCAATTACTGGATTGCATTTACAGATATCACCATGTCTCCAATTCGAAGGAGCTTTTGATCCCATTTCTCTTGTTAATTACAATACCATGAGACAAGCAGAGAGAAGCCAAGGTCGAACCTTACTCCTGAGTTTCTTATTTCTCTTAGGAAAAGAATCAATCAAAACATGAGTGTCGCATTTCATGAGGAAATTGATTAATTGAAACTGCAATTGCTTTAGCTAGTCACCACGCGGTTACAGCTAAGGAGACACATTTGGGTCTCCACCACACACTAGGACACATTGAGATCAGTTTTCTTCTGATCTGTGGTAGAAAGTCTGTATTTCTGGGTAACTATGTCCAATATGTCAAGCACCAGAAGGTTGGATTCCACTTCTTCTACCAACATTTTTATCTGGAAGACTTTTCTTTTTTAATTTCCCATTTTCCCTTATGCGGGTAGGTTTTGATGTACTTGTGGAATAATAAAAAAAAAAGGGTCAATAATACGAATATTTAATGGACTCTTTCTTCTTTAAATGAAGGTTTCCTTCAAGTGTTAATTG